TTGTCCTCCCATCCTAGCATTCTCAACATTTGTATCTTAAGGTGAGTTGACCTGAGATTCATTAGCATGAAGAAAAGAAAAATAAAGAGTCACAAGATATTCATTCAGTCATCTACTCATTCAAATACTGTGATGGGGCCTCCCTGGTGGCGCAAGGGGATAAGCACCACACTATGAAGCAATCCATAGACTCTGCAGCATGACTTCAATCCCAGCCAGCCGGCCGGGTAGCTACCGACATGATGAGGCAGACCTTGCCTGTCTCCCTGCTGCTCCCCTCAGCAGTGTATTTCAGTCAGTCTGCCTGTTCTGTTCCCTGCTCTATCTCTGGTGAATCCTCTCAACCCCCACATCTCTGGCCTGTACCCCAGCTCTTGTATGCATAAATAAATAAATCAATCTTAAAAAAAAAACAACAGGGCCTCCCCTGGTGGCACAGGCAGTTGAGCTCCACGCCGCGAAGCTGTCTGCAGCCTCTGAAGCGCCGGTTCCATCCCGGCTAGCCAGCAAGGGTCCCACATGGTGTGGCAGACCTCTCCTGTGGCGCCCGCTGCTCCCCTCAGCAATGCATTTCATCAGTCTGCCCGTTCTGTTCCCAGCTCTGTCTCTGGTGAATCCTCTCACCCTCGCGCACATCTGGCCTGTACCCAGGTTCTTGTGTAAATGAATAAATAAATCTTAAAAAAAAAAACAAATACTGTAATGTTCCCTACAAGTACAGACTGTAAATCCAAATGTGAGCAAACAAGATCAGACTATGAATCCAAAAATGAGCAAACAATATAGACACAGTGCCCATCACAAAAGAGAACAACTGAGCAGGGGATATAAAAGAGCAGAAAGACAACTATATCACAGTAGATGACCACTCTTAGATGGGTGTGTTCAAGGTTTAAGGATGGGGACAAGCCAGGGAAAAAGCCCAGTGTATCTGTTATGTCTTGAAGCATGGATAGGAACATATTGTTAGGGGGAAAGGATGTCCTGAACAAAATCCATACAGGTCTTGTGGACTCCACCCCGACTCCATCAAGACACTGGGTACTACAAATCCCATGATGACTAAAGGGAGGGTCACAAGGACCTGATGGTGGAGTTAAGCAGCCATGTTCTTTGTTTGGGTATTTAACCAGCCATGTGAGTGGGAGGGGTCAGCCTCTTGGCCACCCTGCACTTGGCTTTCACTAGCTCAGTGGGTCATGGGATTCTAGGTCAGTGGAACAGTTAGGGCACATTTAAAAATTTATCTCCCTCTTTTTCTCCCTGAGTTATTCATTTCTTCATTTCCCCTTTGCTTGTAAATAAACCTTTTATTAACCTGTTGTGTGTGCCTGCAGTTTAGAATTAAGAAGTCCCTTTTAAGTGCACAGGTGAGGACCCACAGTCACACAACCCATTTCATATCAGTTTGCTCTATAACAATATTAGAAGCAATCTAAGCACAAAGAGAAGAAATATTGTGTACAAAAGCATAGCTATACTCACAGCTAGACCAAAACATATAGCATTCAGGACAAAATAATACTATGACACATTTTAAGCTGATATCCTTTAGACTTTTGTTAATCATCTGTTTCTACAGTGATTTTTTTCCTACAAATAAAAATTAAATCTAGAAAAAGGTTCACTTAATAATTCATTTTTACTAAGCTGAAGGTCATTCTTGTGATATAGTTCAGAAAATATGTCTAGTTGTTGATCTTTCTTGCCATTTTTCAGTGGCACTTTTAGACCTGTAACTTCTTAAAAGCCTACACAAAATAAGAAATGAAAATCTTCAATACATGTATAAAACAGATGTTTCTAATCTATCCTAGTAATATTGTAGTGCTCCATTTAGAATGGTCCTTCTAGAATAATAAGAATATAGAGAGGCACATACTTGAACAAATAGTCAGGAGCCATAACTGACTGGACTTGGAGGTAACAGGAAAGAAAAAGAGGACTAATGAAGGGTACATCTTAAAATTTTGGCTTGAGTAACTGGTAGGATACTATACACACTGAAATAAGGTATAAAGTGACAAACAGGTTTGGGATGAATAACCATAAGTTCAGGTTTATACATACTGAGTATTACAGTACATCTTGAGTATTAAAAAAATGAGGATATTTATAAATATGTCTCGACCAGGAGAGCAATATGGAGTAAAGATAAATATGGACAGTCTCAGTACATAAATGGAGTCCATGGTATGGATATGATTATCTAGAGAATATATGCAAAGTAGAAATGCATAAAAGGGTCTAGAGAAGAACCTTAGGAATCCTACATAAAATGGTCAAAAGAGGCTAGGACAAACCACCAGAGATAATGAAAGAAGAACAAGAGCTATAGTATCATGGTTTCAAAGACTTAAGTAGTCTACAGACTATTTAAGCTACAGACACACTGCTCAAGTTTAATACCATCTCGGTCCCTTGCCTATAACACTGCAGAGGCATATTTCAAAATGAAGTCTTCCTGATGGAAGGCCCTGAAAATAACGCATATGGGCATATGATATGGGGACAATTAAATGGTATTGCTTTAAAACACTAAAATGTGGGAATTAGGTGCACCAAAACCAATTGCAATATAAATAACAGGTGGGGTAAGGTGGGGAAAAGGCAAGTTAGGAGAAAAATCCCATTTTAGGAGTCCAGAAATGAGAAATCATGGAAGCCATCACACACACTCATGCACTAATTTTTACTTTATGGCACAGAGTGAATCACTAATCCTCACGCTGATTCAATAATCTTAGGATAATAGAAAAAAAGTAAACAAGAACAATAAATGTACTTAACAGAATTTCTAAGAGATGCCGGTTGGAAAAGATGAGTTTGTCAATGAGAAAAATTGCCTCCGCCTTCACTATCCTTATAAATTGTTATTTACAAATTTCTTCACTCCTTAGTAAGCACATTTTGTACCTAAATAGTTGCCTGGTTGTGTATTTGTGTTAGGCCAAAGATACACTCCCCAGGTAGGTTATTAGAAATAAATTGAAAATAGGAAAAGTAAACCAGTACCAGATTTTATGAAGAAGAATTTATTATTCATCAAATGTTAACAGTAAAAGTTACTGCTGCCAAATACCAAATTACTATTTGATATGCCTAAATGGAACATGTGTGCTGGAAAATGGCAATTACTCAGAACCAAGGCCAGAAGTAGAATCCAGGTCAGAGTGAGGTACGAGGGCCCATTGGACCAGCCTTTTCAGCGAGAGCACTGGATTACCCCTCGTCTATATTCTGGCATTTGTCCCCCTCATTAGTTTTGACAAACCATGAAAGAGGATCAAAAATGCTTCAATCCCAATAGAGTTGAAGTGAATTACATGAAAGAAACACTTAACTAAGTAGGGATGTTTTTCTGCTTGTGATCAATTTTTGAAAAAGGATAGGAGGGAAAACATTTCCACAACTCTTTTAGAAATGTCTTAAGTGTCATTTTACAAAGCATACAAGTAAATTAGTGTCATCATTAAAAAGCATATCAAAAAAGTGACATGCTTTTGCTCTAATATTTTTTCGACTATTTCTAAAACCCAGTCTTCAACTATGAAGATCACGCACTGTTTCTTTGAAAGCGTGTATTATAAATACTAAAATCAAGTTCACAAGGTTGTTTCCCAGGTGGTTTATATAAGGGTCCAATCATCTGATGAACAGAACAATAATGAGTTTGAGAAAGGCTCATTTATCAGGATCTGTTACAAGCTCTGGAATGAGATGCTGTATCAACTTGGAGTTCCTCTGTTAATAGAGGTTCTCTAATAAACACTGTTGAATTGCATACAGGTATTAACAATGCCCCCTCATGAATCGAAGATTTTTTTTTTCAAATTCCAAATCAACTATGTTTCATTATCCCCAAAGCTTGTTCTCGCCAGTAACTTGCTGAAAGTTTCTATTATTTTAAAATGTGTGAGGATGTCCATTCTGTTGGCATGGTTGTTTTTATTTTCAGGTGGCTAGGTTAAAAGGGCAGAACTCATTAAACCACAAAACGCTAACCATCTGCATTTTATAACTATACTTGTTTTTGCTGCGCAGACTGCTAGAATTATTATCGGAGCAACTTAATAGTGGTAAACCAATTTACAGCTTGATAAGCGAGAATCTAAAACTAAAGCATCCTGAATCAACCAGCCACTACAAGTTTGACGTTCTTCTCATTTCTCCCTCTTGAGGATAGCAATGTACAAGGACGAAAGCGGCTGTCAATTTCCTCAGCAATGTTGGCTCAAGGTGGGGGGGGGGGCGGGAGGAGGGGGACAGTGTTCCAATGTGTTTAATCTTCCCTGAAGGGGAGCATTAACAAGGAACTAACAAAAGTTGCTTAGATAAAATCACAATATTTACTAAGAAATATTGCAGAAAATTTCAAATGTGCAATGACACACACTGGGTTTTATACACAGGCTAATTCACAAGAGCAGGCTAGCGTACGAAAAATGTCAGAAACACAGCAGTGCCTTTGCCTCTGCCTCATGCCGCAAGGGCACCCGAAGAAGCGAGTGCCTGGAGGCACCGCACGTAACCAATGTCTCAAAACCGCTGATTCCAAGAGAGGGGAGGAGGAGGGTGATGAGGAAAGTTTATTCACGACTTCCACGTTTATTCTGGGGTGGGGTGGGGGGTGGGGGAAGACAAGGGGAGTAAGCGACTTGTCAACCCAAAACTCCGGAAGCCACAGGACTCAATTACCAAATTCAGTCCGACGCCTGCCCTCGGAGCTTGCAAGTATCCCAGGTCCAGGGAGGGGCGGGGCTGACGCGGGCGGGGTTTCGGGGGCGGGGCGGGGTTTCGGCGGGGCGGGGTTTCGGGGGCGGGGCGGGGTTTCGGCGGGGCGGGGCGGGGCCGGAGTGGGGCAGGGCCAGCGCGGGGCGGGGCCGACAAGCACCAGCAGCCCGGGGTGGCCCGCGCCTTGAGCCCGCGCTGAAGGCCGGGTTCTGTGCCGCTAGGTGTCTGAAGGTAGAGCAGGGCGAGCGCGGAGGGTCAGAAGTTACCTGCGCTGGAAGTCCGGGGCGAAGGGCTTCAGGTACGGGTCGATCTCCAAAAGTCTGGCTAGTTCAGGCACGTCCTCCAGAGCAGCAGCCAGCGCCCCCTCAGAGCGGTCCGGCCGAGCCTCCGGAGCCGCCATCTTCCGCCTCAGCCCGAGTAGCCGAGGCCCGAGAGGGTCGAGTGGAGCCGCGGCGGGGACGGGAGGCCGGCGGCAAGGGCGGAGCCGGAGGACGCGGAGACGAGCCGCCGCGGTCCGGGGCCCTTTATAGCCTGAGAGAAGGGCCGCCTGCTGCCCCCCTGCTCCCCCGCCAGCGGGGAGGAGCGGGCCCCAGGGTGATGCCCCGGACGCACGTCCCGCACGGGGAGGAGGCGCCGAGGCCTCTCCGCCCCCTCACGCGGCGGCACCTGGAGGCGCCGGGACCGGCCCTGGCGCGGCCTGGCGGGACGAGGCCGCCCGGGGAGGCGGGGCCGCGCCGACGCAGCCCCGCCGCTCCCCGGCCCGCGCTCGGCCCCGGGACCACCTCTCCGCGGTTCACCTTTTAAAAGCCGCCGCTTGGCGCGCATCCCGTTTTTCACAAAGTTTTTGAGACTTTTTTTTAGGGCAGTGTTTAGACAGATCAGTGAGCTCACAAGGAGGCGAGCAGTGAAGTGGGGGTACAGTGTTACCTTTGAACGTGCTGCTATCGTTTCGTAACCCGACCTCTTCCACATTTGCCGTCCGGTAAATTAAAACCGGCGGGATCCTGCAGTCACTCCTCGAGCGGGCCGGTGTTCTGGTGGCATCATCTGGTTACTAAGAGCTTGGAATTGAAACCATACCAAGAATTTTTTCCCATATCCCAGAGCGTCAAGAAAAACCAAGAAGGCCTTTTTGCCTTTGTTTTTATTTATAATGGTTCTAACAAACTAAACAACCGTTAAGCTACCCTTCAAGGGACAAGTCGTGCAGGGGAGGGCATTGAATTGTAGACCAACTGTACCACCTTATATTAGCAGTGATAATGCAGTAGGTCTCTCCTGGCTTAAGAATGAGGGACTCTGAGGTCTCCCCCACTTGGTACTAACTTATATTTTCTCATACTTGTTAATTGACTCCTAGTGCCAGGATTCTTTTTTAAGAATAGAGAATTAGAGCGCCCAACCTGCTTTGAGTGGCAAAAGTGGAGAGAGAATCTCAAAAGTTGAGACTATCTGTCCCAGTTAAGACTTGGAAGTGGAGTTTCTTAGGGACTGTGGAGAAAGAAGTATGTCCATTAGCCTGTCCCTAAAATTTTAAAACATTCAAAACATTGTGAAAGGATTAGTAAAGTTGATAAAGGATACCTAGTAACAGAGAACTCTATCAGAGAGTGCAGAGTGAGTACTTTGCACATCATTAAGAACGGCATTTTCCATAAAGATGACAACATGCAAACATTTGTAAACTATAAAACACTTAAAAAAAACAAACACGAAACTCAAAAGCAGGATGCCCAATAGACCCACAGATCGGAATCCCCCATCTTAAGCATTTATCAGAAATCCAAGTTCCATGCTACTTGCTTACTGAGATCTCATTTAGCTGGTTGAGAGCTAAACAAGTTCTCTCTGAAACATACCCTAAATCAGCTTTCTTACCCTTCCTATTACTCTTTAGAGGCCACCTTCATCTCTCACTTGAACTACAACATATCTAACAGATTACCCATCTGATAGTCCTTATCCTCCCTAATCTATGTCAATGTTTCTCAAACTCATATGTGTGTGTGAACAAGTGTTTGAACAAATATTTTTTTGAAGTCCCATTTGCTAGCAAGTTGCCTACGTACTGAGGATAAGTGGAAAACAAGTCCAGTTATCATAAAGGTCACATTAAATAATATGGGATAGGGAAGAGAAAATTACCAACTAAATAATATAAGAAATGCAAAACATCCCCACAAATGCCCTATAGTAATAAATGTACCATAGAGAATTAAAATTAAGCCAATATGTCTGTTTTAGTTCTGTCAGTCAAGGAAGGCCATTTAGAGCTGACATTTAAGCTGAAGAAACAAGAGAAGAACATCCCAAGTTAAGAATTGTGCAATGAGGGAATGAGTTGATTTAGTTACAGAAAAAGGGAAACATAGTGTACTTGGTGAAAAGAAGACTATGGGGGTCTCCCCTGGTGGCACAGGCAGTTGAGGGCAGCACTGTGAAACTGTCCACAGCCTTTGCAGCGCTGGTTAGATCCCAGCCAGCCAGGGAGAATCCCACATGGTGCAGCAGACATCTCCTGTCTTCCCTGCTGCTCCCCTCAGCAGTGCATTTCAGTCAGTCTGCCTGTTCTGTTCCTTGCTCTGTCTCTGGTGAATCCTCTCACCCTCCCGCACATCTGGCCTGTATCCTGGTTCTTGTATGCATGAATAAGTAAATCTTTAAAAAAAAAAAAAAAAAAAAAAGAGGGCCTCCCCAGGGACACAGCAGGTTGAGCGCATCACTGTGAAGCTGTCCGCAGCCTCTGCAGCAGGTTCGATTCCCGGCCAGATAGGTGGATTCCCACATGATGAGGCAGACCTCTCCTGTCTCACCCCCTACTCCCCTCAGCAGTGCTTTCAGTCTGTCTGCCTGTTCTGCTCCCCACTCTGTCTCTGGTGAATCCTCTCACCCTCCCACACCTCTGGCCTGTACCCCAGTTCTTGTATAAAAATACATAAATCTCTTTTTTTGCCTCATCTACTGTGAGAATGAAGACCATTCTCAGCAATCAGACTGTCGACATTCCAGAAAATGTTGACATATCCCTGAAGGGTCGCACTGTTATTGTGAAGGGCCCCAGAGACACCCTGCGGAGGGACTTCAATCACATCAATGTTGAACTCAGTTTGCTTGGGAAGAAAAAGAAGAGGCTCCGGGTTGACAAATGGTGGGGAAGATGAGGTCTGTGTATGCTCACTTCCCCATCAACGTTGTTATTCAGGAGAATGGGTCTCTTGTTGAAATCCGAAATTTCTTGGGTGAAAAATACATTCGCAGGGTTCAGATAAGACAAGGTGTTGCTTGCTCAGTATCTCAAGCCCAGAAAGATGAGTTGATTCTTGAAGGAAACGACATTGAACTTGTATCAAATTCAGCTGCTTTGATTCAGCAAGCCACAACAGTTAAAAACAAGGATATCAGGAAATTTTCGGGTGGTATCTATGTTTCTGAAAAAGGAACAGTTCAGCAAGCTGATGAGTAAGATTTAAGTTGTCCAGCTACAGAGCAGCAAGATAATGGATGATTTCTTAGACCTATTTGTGATACATATTTAAGAAGCAATAATAAAAGTCATCATTGATTTGGGACTTTTTTTTTTCCTTAAGCTGATTATCCTTTCAAATTTTTAAGCAAATAAACAGTTCAAGTCAGTTCTAGTGTGCTAAGAAAAGTACCAAGAAACAGTTTTACTGAAGGACTTTACAGAGAAAAGGCTTGAATCTGATTTCCAAAGGAATATCAAGGGTGTTACAGGCAAGAGGAATATAGTAACAGTGTCAGATGACTTGAAATTGTTAATTGGATATAGAAAATAAGAAATTTTGTGGTGATCTAAAATTGAATGTTGTGAGGCAATTATGTGTCATTCACTTGTCTGTACTAGTAACTTTTTGTGAAAAGGCAACTGAGAAATAGAACAAAGAGTTTTGGTAAGAGTTGGAATATTGAGTTTATGATAAACATGGTTTCAGTGCTCCAGGATCCTCTCAGTCTTAAATCTTTGATTTGCTTTAGGCATTTATTTCAGCATCCTAGTCCCTCATAATTTTAAATTAAGAAAAAATAGATAACAATCACTTGGAACATGTATGTTTTAGTGAGACCTTAAGCCAAATAAATAGGGTTTTTCTATATTAAAGAGTTAATCTTTGGTTTGAAAATGGTTAAATTTTTGATATGTAAATTAAACACTGTAGTGTTAAAAAAATACATAAATCTTTAAAAAAAAAGATGATCAGGAAGTATTGTTAGCTGGGCAACTTACTTGATCATACAGGCTCTAAACAGATATAAGTAGGGGAGTCCATTATAATTAATGTTTTGAGTTCCAACTGTTAATGAAGGCACTATGTTCAAGCATTATGATGGGATAGCAAAGTATAAAGATCTTTGTTGTGATCTATTACTATATTCACAATGTTCGTAAATGAAATTTTAAATAATAATACCTCCAAATGGTGTGGAGTTTTATTAAAATTTATTTAAAATTTAATCAAATTTTAAAATCCTTTTATTTCTCTGTCTTGGTCTTTCAGTACCATAGGTGTTACATTCTTTGAAGTAAGGGAATTTAATTCTGTATTTGTTTCGTTTAACATTAAATGTTCTGAAAGTAAATGATGCAGTGTTAATACAATTTTATAAATTTACCAAACTTATACACCAAAAAACTGGTGAATTTTATGCTGCATAAGTTATACTTAAGATGTCTACAAAAAGTTATGACTGAGAATCTCCACTGAAAATGTGAATCTAATATCTACCAAGTGTATCCACCTCCAAATTGATACTCACTTATTTCTAGATTACATTTAGCACAGTGACCAGCAAAATGTCTCCTACCAACTATGAAACCTCTCTTAGAGTACTTGAAGAAGAGACTCATTCTGTCTTCAGACCTTCAGACCTGCTACCCTCTAACCTCACTACATAGATGGCCAAGTGGTGAGTGTGCAATGTGATGTCAGTTTTTACCACCTGGAGACCAGAGTAAAACAAACAACTTTTCCAGGGATACAAATTAATAGTTTTTAGGTGATAATAATTTCCATTTACTTTTGTCATAAGTTGGATGTGAACCAGTGACCTATAAATGACTTTAACTTTTGTGAAAAATCCTCTGAACATCTGTTCTTCATTAGAACTTAAACAATATTGCCTAGCTCTGATCTACCTAAGAAAAATGGTAAATTTTATTTCACTCAAAGCTATAGGCTTACTTTATACCGCCACTAGTGATTATCTTATATCTGAATTTTTCAGTACATCTCAACTGTTCTATATTTTAAAATTATGCATACATTTTATTTATTTATTTATTTATTTATTTATTTATTTTATAGAGGCATGTTTTCTTTCTTTCTTTCTTTCTTTCTTTGTTTTTGTTTATACATGCACTGGGTACAGTCAGAAGCGCGGGAGGGTGAGAGAATTCACCAGAGCCAGAGCAGGGAGCAGAGCAGGCAGAAGGACCGAAGTACACTGCTGAGGGGAGCAGCGGGCGGCAGGAGAGGTCTGCGCGCCATGTGGGACCCTCCTCCGGTGGCCGGGGAGCAGCCGGGGATCGAACCGGCGCCACAGAGGCTGCGGGCAGCTTCGCAACCCAGCGCTCAACCGCTGCGCCACCGGGGAGGCCCTATGCATACATTTTAGTCACAAAATTGCATAAGAATCAAACTATGAAGCTTATCTATGTGGAGTTATTCTGAAAAGAACACAGTAAGTCTTCAAAATAATAGCTAATAATATTGTGCTTCTTGTGTGGATACTGTGTAGTAGACTCTGTGTAAGTGTGTATGTGTGTGCACACCTGTGCACATGTGCACAAAATCTTCAGTTAACGCTGTGATAAAAGCAATAAAGATACAGAAAATTGCTTAAGATAATGTAGGCATTAGTCAAGATTTGAGTCAGGTAATTGTTTTACAGAGTCTATGCTTTTAAGAACTTTATTATACTACCTCCCAGAAAGACAAATATAAAGGGTAATATCATTTTTATGACAAAATTAGGCAAGCAAAATTTAAAATAGTTTTTATCTGTCAACTACCTGAATGAAATCGAGATCCCTGGTAAACAACCATTTCAGAAACAAATCAAAGAACGGGGAACTTGGGAGTGAAGGGGTGAGGTTATCCAATAAAATTTAAGTCATAAAGCCAATGGAATCAAGCCTTATACAATGCACTTATAGGAAGACACATCTAACTACCATCACCTATTATTTTTTTTGTTTTTTCCAGAATTTTTATTTTATTTATTTCTTTTTTTATAATAAATTTTATTTTTATATTCCCCATACAATTGCAACCCCCCCTTCTGACCCCAATCCCTCCCCTCCCGCCCCCCACCCCCAAAAAGTGTCTCTGGTTCATAGTTTTTTGTTGATTTTGATTTTCACTTTCTTATAGTTATTCATTTTTCTGGTCCCTTATTTAAGTTTTCTAGATTCCTGCTATGAGTGAGAACATCCGGTATTTTTCTTTTTCTTTTTGGCTTATTTCACTGAGCATGATCCCTTCCAGTGCCATCCATGTTGCTGCAAATTGCATGTGTTTATCTTTTTTGAATGCTGAGTAATATTCCATGGTATATATGTACCACATCTTCTTGATCCAGTCATCTGTTTGTGGGCATTTGGGCTGTTTCCAAAGCTTAGCTATTGTAAACAGTGCTGCTATAAACATAGGTGTGCAGGTGCTCTTTGGAATTGATGTTTCTGTGTCCTTTGTATTAGCTTAAATGATAGTCCCCCAAAAGATACACCCATGCCCAAATATCCAGAACCTTTGAATACTACCTTTTAGGGACAAAAGAGAGATCATCAGCATTATTTGAATGTGTTTCTCAATCACATGACAGTATTCTTAGACACAGAGGAGACAAAAAAAAAAAAAAAAAAGCAGGGAAGCAGTATAACTGAATGTGTAGAGATTGAATAATGCTCTATCCACAATCAAAAAAACGCCAACAGATACCAGAAACTGCAAGAAGCAAAGGACAGGTTCTCGGTTCTCCTCTACAGTTTTCTCTAGAAGAAAAGAAATGTCAGCCTGCCAATACCTTTATTTCAGACTTCCTTTGTCCAAATTATAAGAAATAAGACACCAGTTTGTGGTAATATATTTTGGCAATCTTAGAATACTAATACCTCTAATCTGTCTTGTAAACATGACTACTTCATCCCTAAAAGTTTGAACAAGGAAATATATAGAAAAAGAAAACTAAAGATGAGATGAGAGCAGCAGACTCTCATATATGAAATCATCCTAAATATAAATTGATTAGCCTCACCAATCAAAGTCATAGAGTGACTGCCTGAGTCAGAAAATGAAACCCAACTTTCTATAGTCTCCAAGAGACAGCACTCAGCTCCATAGATAAGCCTAGATTCAAAGTGGGGAAAAGTATTTAACAAGCAAATGGTACCCCAACAAAGGCAGGCAGAGAGAGCCACACAGTATCAGATAAAATAGACTTACAGCTAAACAAAGTAACAAAAGACAGGGGTGGACATTATATAAAATGATCAAGGGAGTAACCCATCAGGAAAACATAACATTCATCATTTTATACATATGCACAAATAAGGGAGAATCAAAATATATAGGAATTGTTTCAGAATTGTTATCTATTGGCAGCAATGCAATAGTGGTAGGAGACTTTGATACCCAATTTTGCCAATGGGCAGATTAACCAAGCAGGAAACAATAACCCTAATCAAATTTTTCGATCCAATTGGCTTAATAGAGATTTATAAGTCACGACAGCCCCTGAAAACCATTCTTCTCAGGTGCACATGGGACATTCTCCAGGATAGAGCACAGATTGCATCACAAAACAAGTGTCAATAAGCTCATGAAGATTGAAATCAAATATCTTCTTTGATCATAATGATATCAAACTAGAGACCAACCACAAAAAGAAAGCAAGAAAAACTAATACGAGGAAACTAAACAACATATTATTGAGTTACTGAGGCGAAGAAGAAATTTAAAAATACCTCTGTGCAAACCAAAATGAAGACACAAACCATCAGCATCTGTGGAACATAATAAAGGCACTGAGAGGGATGTAAATAGCAATACACACCCACATCAAGAAGCAGGAATTTAACAGTGATGAAACTTCTCAGACTTCACCTTAACCAAATGATCAAAGTGGACACAACTATTTATAAGACATGTTGATATGATAAAATCCTCAGTATGAAGTGAAAATACATGTCATACCTGAGATATTCACAAAAAATCCACTGAAAATTTTGAATTGTAAGAAAATATCAAAAAAATAAACACCTCAAAAGATGTTGTACAAATTACCTGACCAGAGCTATTAAAAATTGTCACTGTCATGAAGAACAAGGAAAGACTAAGAACTATACTGACTGAAGAAAACTAAAGATTACATGATGAGTAAAAGTGAAGTCATATTCTGGAACATATCCTGGAATAGAAAAAGTTGAAATATTAATGAAATCTGTAGCTTACTAGTACTGTACTGATTTCAATTTCTTAGTTTTGATAAATGTCCTACTATAAGATGTTTGCATTACAGGAATTGGGATGAAGTTATGTGGGAACTCTGCATTTTCCTTGCAACCTTTCTATACATTTAAATTATTCTAAAATAAGTATTTTTTTAAAAATATGTATTATTAGCTATGACAAAATCTTAATATTTGTTTATTTGGGGAAGAAAGTAAATGCAGTTTTCAAAAAACAGTTTAAGAAAAAATATATCAATATTCATTTTCCCCTTTTTTATAACCATTGGTATTTAGTGATTATAGAAACCTTAGTTAATATTAAACAAAAGTATGTGATTGCATTTAATAATGTCATTGCTAAAAAAACAAAAATTGTGATTCTTCTACTAGAATTAAGTATAATGGATTTTCTGAGCTTTTAACTATTTTGAGTTTACAAGGCTGCCACTTAGTTAACTGGTGGCATATAATGTTGTGAGAAATTTAAAGGAACTGCTACAAGTACCTAATTAATCCTTACAAAGTTGAGATAATCTGATTCATTAAAAGAACAATGTGTGCCTGGTACTGAACTAGAAATTTTTAATTACCATTTTGTACTTTGCTGATAACTTGCTCTTTAGTGAAAAAAAAAGTGACTGTCTCTAGGTGACATACCAAAATGTTTAAAAGCACAGAACTACAGAAAATATAGGAAATCATAGACAAATGACCTAGATTTTAAGAATTTATTTTTCTCATTTTGAGGTCATTTTCTCCAGACTTTTTGACTTTTTGAAATATTTTAATAGGAAGTCATCATTTGCCTATTTTTCTAACTATTTATATAATTTCATTTTAGTAGCTAATACAAAATATAACATTGAGTCACTTAAGCCATAAAACCATTTAAGATTACTTTCTAATTTGAGTTAATTATTTCACTGTTTTTCCCATTTATTTTTATTCAAATGTTTCTATCTTTTCCAGAAACATCCTATTTTTCAGGATTTTATGTTTTTCTTTTTGATTAGCAGTTGAATTTATTTTAAACTTGAACAGACTCAAGTTTTCAAAGATAATTCAGTAAAACCTAGGTTATTTACCTGATATTGCATATTAAAGAAATTTTTTGTTAAAGATTCACAACCCAGATGTAAACTTGCATAAACCAAACATCTTTTGAAAACTTTTTCAGAGATAATTAATATAGTGGCTATCCCTGCATACTCCACATTTATGAATAAATTAACTCTCATGTGGAAAGGCATCATTTCCTAGGCCAGCCATATTAAATTATTCCATGAGAGAGTTTATCATTTTACCTGACTCAGTTTTCTATTATCTGTACTTTTGATCTAAAAAGATGTTTGACAGAGAAAGGTTGAAACATTTCTTCATAAGATGATACCAGAAAATTTTTTAAAATCTAAGTAAAACTCTAATATAAAAGGATTTTAGAGCTGGGTCTGAAGTA